TAAGCCTCAGAGCCAGCTGTAAAATTAATCACATCCACAGGTGAATTATGACTTTTGTTAGAGATTTTTTTAAACCTTTTTCATTGAGGAGAAAAAAAAAAAAAGAAAAAAAAAAAAGCCACCTGGAGATGGTTGTTTCCTGGAGTTACTGTTTCCAAGTGAGCAGAGGGAAGAAAAGGAATGTACGGATGTTTTTTAAATTGCAGGAGATGAATCAAGACATCAAATTCATGTGGCTCAAAGTTCAGGATCTGCACATGGGGAGACTGTACCCCAAGGTTATGTGTGTTATGTTACCCCAAGGTTATGGCGTGTGTCAGTCTCCCCTATCCTCAACATGGAGAGATGCTTATTTTTTTGCTAAGGCTTACAACTTGGAGTGCACCATAGGTTCAGAATGTCTTTTAGAATCTGGCCCAATATGAAAAACCTCAAACAATATCCAAGACGGACTGCTGCTCTTTCTGCTATAGAACTCTCTGCTAGATGATTTCTGGTGAAGTAATAAAAATTGCAAAGCTCTGAGTATCAGTCCAATGGACTAGAAATAATGAAAGTTCACAGATAGGCAATGTCCATTTACTTCATGCAAATATTTTTATTATGATAGGATCATTATTTTCGAGGATGGCACAATTGTCCCGTTACTATTTTAAGCCAGCTGTTGGTAATGTGAAACTATTCACAGAGTACTGTAGAATAGTACCTTATGGTATACTATAACTGGGGGTTCTAGGGTTTACTTGAGTGGTTTTGATGACTGATTTGCTCAGATCCTGCCTCGTCTGCATCTGAGAACATCCTCAGAAAAGGGAATGCAATGTTTTATTCCTACCAGAGAGTAATTTAAACAGAAAATATCTCTTTTTAGATTTAAATCATTTCTGGGGCAGGTATACTTTTTTATTTGTAGAGACAATATATTCTTATTAGAAAAAAAAATACAAGTTTAAGGGAAATCACCTATTTATATTCTTGTCATCCTGTAACACAAATAGAAGGAGAAATATTTTTAAATGATAGGAAGCTGGTTCTATTAAATCTAAAATTGATGGTTTACTTTCCAGTAAATCTGAATATAATTTAGGTACTGCACTGATCTTCATTTGGTGCAGACAGTGCTTGCTAAATGGTCATGTAATTCTGTCAAATGTTTGAAAGTCATTCTAAAATATCACTCATTATATCAAATTCCCCCTGATTTGTCACTGGCCCTGGAATCCCTGCAATGTGTACTGTGTGTGGTTTTTACTACTTTTTTAAATTGTAATTTTTTGTTGTTGTTGTTCAGAAGTACGTCGGTATATGCTGAACTATTATAGTGAGAAATGCTTATCCTGGCAATATGTTTCTTGACACCACCACCATCTCTGCATTCAATCATAAGAGCAGTGAAGAAGAGAAAGCCAGTTTTATTTCTGTACTATGACCTTGCAAAAAGTTCTGTGTTGCAATTAACAGAGCATTCAAAGCTCCTGTTTAGGGCATTTGCGAGATATTGTAGAGAGTGTATCAATGTGCTTACAGCATGATACTACAAAGCAATTTCTTTTGCTGTGCTTTAGATGTAGTTTCCATTTGTGCTGAAGGACCAAAAACACATGCCAATTGATCCCTTAGGATCAGCACCATCTCATGTGAGATCTGAGGCTATGTTCTGCCTGATGTGAACAAAAGGTGTTTTTGTTAGTTAGGTATTATCCTTTTTTTTCCTGAAAAGCAAGGTGGTTTTTTTTACATTTAATGCTACCTTCTCAGGTTAGTATAAGGTGATGTGTTATGTATTCTCTGCTTCTGTCTTAATCTCTCTAAATTCTGACACAGATTTTTGGAGGCATATCGATAAAAGGTGGATATATACAAGAAATATATGCATCCATATATGTTACTCCTGAGACAGGGATTATGACTTTGTTACACAATCTGCATGAAAACTGACCTCTTATTAGCTCTCTTACAGGCTATATTTTTACCATGTTGACCACTGATACTTTTTGGTAATGATATTGGAGAAAGATGAGAATATATTTTTCCTGATTATGTTTGGGGGGTTTTCTTTTTTCTCTCTCTCTCTCTCTTTTTTTTTTTTTTCTCAATAATTTTCTGGGTTTGTATCTCTTCTACAACCCACCCCCCCCCCCAAAAAAAAAAAAAACAAAAAACAAAAAACAAAACAAAACAACAAAAAAAAAAACAGATAAAACCCTGTCATTTTGCACAAGTCTCCGTGGGGTATGAGGTGGACAGGTTGTGGAGACTAAAGGGCTAAAATGTCTACAGTGTCCTTCTGTCTCCTGTCTCCACTCAAAATTCTCCACTGCCGACAACATACAGTATGAAGGTCTCTGTTTCTTCCACAATGTCTCTGCATCTGGTACACCTCAGCAGTACATTCCCCTTCCTTATGCCAGCTGCCCACTGCTGAGCACCTATAAAAATTGATGGAGCATGTGAAGTTCAAAGCAGTATTAGCCAAATATACATGCCATGTCAAGCTTTCATCATGACCTTTAATTTGACCCTCATGTTCCCCCACTCCTCCTGGGTGTTATCTCCTGCTATAGCATAAGCTCCTAGGGGAGGAGATATTCCTTTACTTGCTGTAGAGCATTCTGCTCTCCTGCTGTGAATAAAAAATAACAATGGTGGGTTTGGTGGGTTGCAGCATGCATGGCATGAATTACTTGCCTGCCAAGAACTGAGGCTTGATCCTCACGATCCCCCAAAGAACAGCTCAGTGTATTTAGCCCATTGCTCTGAGTGAGTAATCCAATGGGAAGAAAAAAAAAAAAAAAAAGAACATTTTGTTGTTGTTGTTAAGGTACATGAATATTTTAAAAGTAAGTTTTAATTTTGCTGAAGCACCACAAAGCCTTGGAATTGAATTATCAATTTTTTTCTAGCCCTATGATGACCTGTGACCAGGAATGGAAAAAACAATATAATATAGAATACTGCTGTATGAAACATATTTGTCCAATAATCTTTGGTATCCAGGAGCTTATCGGAAACCTGGTATCCGGTACAGGCTGCTCTGGGTACAGCCTGGTGTTTCACATTGGAGCTGTATAGAGTCCAGCCACACGTGTCCAGAGAGCTGCAAACAGACACAGCAAACATTCAGGGTGGATTTTCATACATATGTATTATCAAACTTCTCTTTTAATGTATGTTTTGTCCTTTCACCATGGAGTAGCTATAACTGGAGGCTATTTAGAGAATAGAACTGATAGGCTTGGGCCCATTTGACATTAATATTTTTTTACAGAATAAAAAAGCAGAGCCACCAGATTAGCAACTAAATTAAAAATAGATGTTGAAGTACATCCTCAGGTAGATAATATACGTTTTTCAAATGTATGGACATGAGCAGATGTCTGAGAAAAACATGAAAACAACCATAATTTATGCAGAGACAGACAGACTTTCACGAACCACAGAGCCAAAAAAAAAAGTGAATGCCTTCCAAAAGAAAACACTGTAGTTAGGTCTCAAAGGTAAATAAAATCTGTCTAGATTAATTTAACATCTGTAGGTATATTTTTAAATCAAAGCATCGTTAGTGTAATATATATACCAGCTGTAAAGTTTCTATTTCTGGAATGAAAAAATAATAATAATTAAAAAGAAAAGTGAACATAAGAGGTAGAAACAGAAAAAAGAATAATGAAAAGAGGTTGGTTGTTCCAACTGTTCCTCGAGGAACTGCACAGATTTTTAAAATTCACTGTTGTATTAATCTTTTATTTTTAATCAGAATTTAATTGCTTTTGGATTAAGGATACTTTGATTCCAGTGTTCGACTCAGATATTTTTTAAACGTATAGTTCAGCTTTATTACTTAATGACATAAATTTTCCTGTATATGGTTCAGGGGACTGATCATGGGATAACAACCAATTCAGATCATTGTCTTTTCTCCAGCTAGGTGCAAATGGAAGCTATTAAGGTGTCTTGGACTCTTTTGCTTTGGCAAAACTAAAGATAGACAGATAACATGCTACAAAACTGGGTTAAGTGTAACATTTTTGCCCCCCAAAACTGGTGTGGTTGCTTAGGCTAACAGGAGCAAGAACTCTGGTATAATTATGTAAATGGTAGTCAATAGAAAACAGTAATAAAAAAACAAAAATTACAAAAGAAATAGGGCTTTAAAAAGGGCATCTAAAGAGGACAGGAAAGGACACTGTGTGTTTGCTAAGGGGGGTGTTGCCCCAGTGAATAGGTTTGGAGACAAGGGGGAAGAAAAGAGGAATAAAACTGATCTTGGTTGTATCAGAAACCAAGCCACCCAACAGTGATTTCAACCACTCCTTGATCTACTTTTAAACATCCCCAGTGAGTGGCCTTTGCCACCTTCCTCCAAGGTGTGGTTTAACAAACATCTGAACTGATGTAATGTCTTACAGCTGTGACAGGGAGCATCTGGCTTCCTCTTGCCTGGTCCTGAGGACCTCTCCTCTTCTGTGGGCCGGCTCTGTTGTTAGTTGCCTCCTGGATGAGTCAGCCCAACCCACTAACCTACAGAAAACTACTTTTTGCCAGTTTAGTGAAGCAAATTTTGATTCACTAAGGGGGCTGAAAAACACCAAAGCCCAAAGAAGGTAAATGGCAGGGCTATAAGCCTGAAGGAAGAGTAAGAGGAGGGAATGGGATTTTCTATTTTCAGTAATGCTGAGTGGCAACATTGGCATTATTCCAAAGGATTGCTCTGGTGCCCTAATACCAATAAAGTACAGTTCTGAAGCCTGAGACACCTTGGCTTGAGGAATTGTTTTGGGGCCTCCCTCATTGGAGATAATTAAAAATCTGCCTGGACAGAGTCCTGGGCAGCCTGCTCGAGGTGGCCCTGCAGGAGACTGGGCCAGATGACCTCCAGAGGTCCCCTCTCACCTTGGCTGTTCTGTGATTCTGTGACTCAGTTTCCCCTCTTAAAATTAAGCTATGGCATGGGCCTTTAAAAGAAAAAGATGAATTTTTACTTTGTGTTGAAATGAGAGTTTTGTTGGATTAAAAAAAAAAAAAAAAAAAAAAAAGGTTCTTGTTTTTATTTACACCAAAGCACTTGTCTTAGAGCACAGTAATATGTAATAGCTAATCTAACTGTAAAATCTTAAGTGGAGAGACAGCACTGCCAGGCAATTAGGTGAAGTCAGCACACTCACACCCTTGGTTAATCTTAGCCTCATTTACCCTATGATAACATAACAGTGCCTTGTCTTCACCCCATTTTCTCAGTGGTGCAGGGAGCTCACTGCAAGTATATTGGTATATTGCATTAAAGGATTTTTTTTTTAAAGATGACAGACCTGTTGACATGTGTGAGACTGACAGGGCACATTTTCTTTTGCATATCTTCAATGGGTAAACTCCTAGAATGTAAACATTTCAAAAAGAGACATACAGGGTAGGAATACAGAAGATAGATTTTTTCTTTCTAGATTAATTGGAAATAAATTAAAGATATATTGAGTGAGCTGATACATCTGAAAATCCTAGTCAGGACATTAAACAAATATTTGTAGTACTGCTCCCCAGGATAAACAGCAAATATTTTGAGTTCTTTAGCAAATATTTGCAGGCATACATGCAGATGGATTAGGTAATCAAAGAAACTGCAATAGGGTAGCATGACTTAAAAAAGATGTGAAATCTATGCAAAGTCTCTAATTAAATGCTCTTGTATTCTGCTTCTTGTACTTAGTTTCTTGTAGAATGGCACTTACTAGTTTTTCATGTCCCATTCTTGCTGCTTCCCAGTGGCTTGGGAACCTCTGGGGTCTCCAGCTATGGTTGTCAAAATAGGGAACCCAAATAAGAACTGCATATAAACTCCGTGAGCAGCAAGTAGCTGATAGGAGAACATCTTCTGAATATTTGCTCCTTTGCATACTAACAGGATGAATTTGGTCTGCCAGTTCCTATAAAGTGTAGCAGCAGACTGAGTGTTACCTCAAGGCATGAACAGAAGGTGAAAGGGAGAAAATTATATTAATATAGATAAGAATTAATAACAATTTAAAAAAGTAGGAGAGGCCCCCTAAAACAATTCAGTGAAAAACTGAATATCTGGTGACACTAATATACAGAAAAGCAGATTAGAAAGGCCTGCAACACACAGAATGCTTTGCTGTTGCCTTTTTTAAACTATATAGCCAGATTTTTATCCTGGCACTCACTGCATTTGGAGCTAAGTGATCTGAGAAAATAAGGTTTCTTTGTGTATTTTTTCTTTAACAGGCAAGATATTACCTTAGGAATTATTACCAAAAACAAATGAAAAAAAAAAAACCTGCACTAGATTTGGATCCAACTCTGAATGCAACAGGTTTTATTTCTCTCAGGTTCAGTATCAGATTATTTCCACAAGGTTTCCAGAAGCGAAGGAAGCATTTCATACACAGTTTCACTAAAGAGAGACAGGTCTAGCTGCACAAGGATCTGTCATGTGCAATACTGTTTACTTCTGTCTGTTTGTTAACCTCAGACTTCAGTGAGTCATGGTATTTTTACTGCCATACTATCCATTCCATAGGCTTTAGCACACTCCTCCACTTAATTATTAACAAAGTCCAAAGGTATCCACCCCTCTCCCACACAGATCTTCCAGCTAAACATGGCTCCATAAGCTCTTCTTATTTAAAGTTGTTCATTACAGTTTGGATAAATACAGTGTTAGCAGTGGATGCTTTGGTGTTGCTGAAATACTTCCTTTCCTGGTTTCTAAATTCAGAGAGTTTTGAACATCACAGCTCCTGCTGCTGTTTACATTCTTCACATCCAAGTAAAGAGGGCAACCCCACGTGCTGGTTCTACAGACATCTACCGATTTTGTTCTTCATCCATTTGAGAATCACCTTCTTTTTCAGGATTCCCTGTAGCCACCTTCTAACAAAACAAGCTCTTCTCTCTCTTTCCTGATTCCTCAGCTCACCTGCTGCTGTCTTCTCCTCTGTTTCTCTGTTCAGGCCTGACCATGGTTTGGGGCCAGGCAGGTTTCAGAGGTACCACAGATGGAAGGAATCAGTCAGCATTCCTTCATTGCAGCATGACACCTCTCCGGTACATGGGGGATGTGCCAGGAATTAGGTCAGGAAATGATTCCTATTTCCTGCAGCTTTTAAAAATTATTTTTCAGCTGACCAGGCCTCCTGATCTGGTTCACAGCACGGCCCTGCAAAGAGCTGGTGGTGGGAAAATGGAAGGGTGATGCAGCATTGCATGAGGATAAGAAAAGGTAGGCCACAATATCAGAAAACTATGGTCTTTCTGCTGCTGGCCTCAGATGAGCCTGCCCTGAATGTTTGCAAATTATTTTGTCAAACATTTTAAGCAATTTTTGAAGTACTGTCTTGCTTTCAAAAATCTCTTTGGGAATTAATTATGATATTCACATGACAGAGCTGACTAATTTAAAGAATGGTGAGAAATATCTGAATGAGGATGTGAACAACTGAAGTGTGAAGCAAGAAGTGGCACCTGAAAAGCATCAGCCCAACTGCATGTATGCTTCTTTTGCTTAAAAATCTACCTAGTAGGTATGTAATAATTGAGCAAAGGGTCCCAAAATGAAATATATGTTTGTTCTTCATAAAGTGTTCTTCTAGCATATGCTCAAAATATCAGTCATGAATGCTGGAAAAGATGGGTGTAGTACAGTGGGAGTTAGTCATGGCCTGAAAACATTGTAGGAAAACAATTTAAGATGAATAGTTACTCAGCTAATTGCTTTGAGTAAGTCTCAGATTTCACACACCCTAGCACCCAACTCAAATTTTTTACTTGATACAATACACTTAAAATGACTAGGAAGAGAAACCCCTTGCATTAAGGATCTTGGAGCTGTGCAAAAGTGTGGTTTAGATGGGCTCTGGAAAATGCACTGCAGTGGATACAAAGTCCTAGTAATGCCTGGTGTGTTTTCAACCTGCTTGCCACGTGCTGCCAATCTCAAAGCAGCATGCAACCTGTACTTTCCCTTTAATTGCCTCAGTTAAAAAACAAAATAAAAAAAATCTGAGAGCTTAGCTTTAAACTCACCTTCAAAAGGAGCTTAAGCCAAGTCACTGGACTTTGCACCTAAACAAACATAAGTGCACATGATTCACGCTGAGTCTCCTTGGGTGCTCTGGCAATAACACAGCTTTTAAAATCACAGCATCTGCTTGCTAAATACATGTATTTATACCTTTGGTGCATGAAGAATGAAGTGTATGTGGTTAGTATGGAGGCAAACATAACTTCCAAGTTCAGTTCTAATTTCTGTGTCTGGACTGAATTACTTGCAAAGAGCTGAGATCATGGGAAGCTGACATTTACATGGTAATTCCTTCCTGAACTCTGCATAATACATGAGCAAAGGCATAGAAACTATTGAACCTTAGATTAAGGCTACAACTAAAGCCAGACGAGAATAAATAAGTATTGACTGAAGTATGCTGGGAGAATTTACCACTTGGGGTGTACGCCAATCTAGGCATGCAAGGGCATACGCACATGCTGCAGAGGTATATAAATGAATGCAGTACACTTTCTAAAGAAAACTAGGTATAACTTGGCAGTAATTGTATTGAGAAGCAAATTCCACCATGCATTCTTTTTTGCTTCTGTGTTTTGTCTTGCTCTTCGGGAAAAGTGTAGATTTTAGCATGATTATTAAGGGACAGCAGGCAGTGCACACGGTCTTATGGGAAAGAAGGGTTGATAATTGGATGCAGCCATCAGAAAGAGGTACAGAGCTGGTGCAAATGCTGAAGAGGCTTGAGAGGGACAGTAAAGAATAGCTTTGTCTGGAGAGTGGGAAGAATGGAGGCCAAAAAAAGATGTTGCAACAATCAAGTAATGAATAAGATATGAAGCACAGTTATGCTGGTGATGACAGAGAGATTTTAAAGATGTCACCCAAGAAGAGAATCACGGCATGATAGATAAAACACTGAATGTGAAACAGAGACTGGAGAAAAAGAGGCAGCAAAGACTTCACTGAAAGAACAGAGCAAAAGCTGGAAGAAGTGAGAAGCCTGGAGAGGAAAATATACACTGTATTTGAAATAGGAAACCTTCAAATAGTATTCAATCTGCTTAGTGAAACTGAAATGCATAGAAAAGGAGTCTTACACTGGACGAAGAAGGGATTCGGATGACATTGTAGGGTGCATTTCGTAAGGAACAGAACAGCTGACTGTTAGGTGTAATTGTTTTTTCCCATACACTGTTTGCAAGCTGATACTTTCCCCTACGGTTCCCCTGCAGATGCGTCAAGTGTGAGCTTTCCCTCAGGAAGACCATGGAGGGGGCTGTTTATCTCCTCTCTTTCCATTTACCCTTAATGTGTGCATCCTTTGTTACTGTAAGAGAGGTGCTTGCGTACCACTAACAGCTTTTCTTCAAAAAAACCAACTTTTTTTCATTAAAATGGAGAAATGAAATGGTTAGTTATAATGATGGGAGAACTATCATGTTAGAAAACAAACAAACAAACAAAAAATAACAAAACAAACAAACAAACAAACGTAATTCCACAATTTTCTCATCAGAAGAGATGTACTGACATCTGGAATGTCTGATCTTGAGACTGTGACAAATAATGAAATATTTCACCAGCAAATAAGGGGTAATGGTAAAGTCACTTTCAAATATGGATAGAGATGATTTGAATGGCTGGGTCCACAATTTACATTGATGATATGTCATGGTAAACATCCATAATGAAAATTAAATATAAATAAAAATTTTAATCCCTTATTTTGTTGAAAAATTAAGCCTTGGTTTAGGCTAAAAATAATCTAATATATAGAGAGTTTTGTGGAAAATTAGACTTGTGTAAACCTGTAACCTGTACCCCGGTTCTCTTCAGAACCAGTCATATTAAAATGAGGCACGTGAGCCTGAGATGATTTATCTTAAACCTGTTAATTTACCTGACATAGAACTTTGTTCTAATCCAGCCCAGAGACCTGCATCTAAAACCAACCAGCATGCTCTAAAACAGCAACAAAACCCAGCAGCACAGACCTTTCAGTAAAACAACTGCTATGCTGGGACAGGGCTTCAGCAAAAAAAAGATCAGGATGGGCACGTCACAGCTCTCCTCTGTTTCAACAGCTCCTTTGCTCATTTAAGTGGGTTGATTTGGAGAGAGAACTGCTCTTTTAACAGTAATCTGCCTACTATATATGCATATAAGCCATGTATTTAACTGAAAGAAATCACGGCATCATCTTCCATTCAATATCACTTGGGACTTTTGTCTTTGAGCTATTCTGACCAATCACAAAGGAGCAGGATTCAGCCTGCACAAAAATATGCATAGAAAGTCTTAAATTACACTCAAAAGTTTTTATATACTTGGTAGGGACTTCTGTTCATGAAGCTTGCTCTTGTGAGAGCCTGGCCACTTACTTTAATAATTCACTAATATTAAAATAATTTCAATTGAATAAACAGTAGTTCAGTAAAACTTTGGTAGTCACATAAAGAGAAACTGAACCACGTATGTGCTATTCCACCTTATGAAACGCTGGATATGCTGTTTTTCTGTTCAGATAAATACCTAAATGGGAAGGCCCCATTTTACTTCTTATCCTGACCTTGTTAGGAAAGCCTTTCGTGATGACACAGCAAAACTGAAGCACATAGTCTGTTAAAATTCCTATCATTGGATCAGCAAGAGAAACCACAGCAAATATTTGAGCGCAGGGGCAGCCCACTTCCTGCATGTCACTGGGAGCTGGAGGAGGTGGTAAAGGCACAACAAGCTTTTGCTGTTCTCTTCCGTTTCCCAAAATTCTGATCCAGTCTGGCTGAATCTGCTCATCTCCTTCCACATAGCTGTTACAAAACTTCCTGCCTGTTGTTTAACAACCAAACAGGCATTTTTTTTTACAAATGAAAACATTTTATTACAGAAATGCTGTGTGTGACCTCTGACAAAACCAGCTGGATGCTGAAAAGATGGAAAATCAGCTACTGCACAAGTCTGACTGCTTGTTTCACAACTGTCAATCTGTTAGGCAACACCAATACGGTTATTGCATATTAATAGAATATAACAGTAATTAAAGCTTATTCCACCTAAAAGCCCAGTAAATAATCTAATTTCAGATTTCTAAAAGCTTGCACATTTAAGTAGCTAATGGGTGTTTACAACATTTAGTATGTTATTAAGATTCAAACTGCGATACAGATTTATGCAAGGTACACACAAAAATCACTTTCAGCACCAAAGGAATCGATCTGGTCTCCTGGATAATACTTGAAATGTGGGATACACTTTCCTTCTTTACTGCAGATACGTTCTGCAACACCAACCACTTACATGGACAAAACATACACAACTTATTGAAAGGAAAACATTTCCAGTGCAGGGCTGAGTAGAGTTCTCCTCCATGTCTTGGATATTGTGGTCGTCTTCACTGACTGTGCTGCAGATGGAGGCTGCTGTGATCTTGATTGTCACGTGGTGGGGAACCTGTAGTTTGTCAACAGGAAATGGCTCACAGATCATTTTAAATTTCAATAAATATTTTCATGGTTTTACTGAATTGGGGATCACATTATGTGTGACCCAGTATGAGATGAAGATTTCTTTCTTTCTTTTTGAGAATTTCACCATAGTGCTTGTCATCTCCAAGACCAGTAGTAGTCGCATGCATGTGGACAGACCACCTAAAGCTAGTTCACTGTAGACACTTAGTGTCCTCACTCTCCACAGCTTCCTTAACACAACAAGAGGGGAAAGAGTTCTGTTTTTAAGAGCTGATCAAGTACCCAATCTAAACAATATGTATTTGTAATTGTACAGAAACTCATTATGTTTGGATATATTGGGGGGAGGAGGGAAGGTAGGGACAGGGAGAACAAACAGAAACAAAAGCATACAATACAAAACTCATCTGCTCGGATAAGATCTTTTATAGTCCCTGATCCTCGTTATCAGCTGAGCTCTCTTACACACACACTGTGAAGAAATATGTAGGTGTTAAAATTAGGAATTAACTTTCTAAACCAGCTGATTCTTGCAGCATTGGGTGTTGGCCTGGTTTGGGATGGAACTTGGAGCAGCACGACTGGTTGTGAAGTCAGGCTGTGACCAAAACCACTTTGAAGAAGCCTTAACTTACTATAAATGTGTCAGCTTTCCTTAGCTTCAGTTTTCTGCTGTTAATAGTGCCTTTTACTACTTTTCACTGAGACATGACTTCTGGATGTTTTCCACCCTCTTTTCATTGCTGTTTCTGTAGTGAATGCTCCAGCATCCAGGTCCAAGTGCTTAACCTAGCAGCTAAGAAATGTACAGAACCGAAGATGGCCCAGATAATCTCGGAGGTCTCTTCCAACCTTAATGATCCATGGTGTTTGCTGCAGTAGGGTGTCTTCAGTGCAGAGCTCTTTCCTTCCCTTCTGGTCCCATTTCTGTTTTCTGAGCTATCATAAAGTGTAATTCTATGCAGTAAAAATAAGCAGAAGCCCCGTGTGCATGTGCAATACAAGTAAATGAACTTTCTGTTGTAAATGCATGAAACAGGCTGTGTTCTCTCCTCCTGACATCCCTGTCTTTAGCTACTACAGCCAGTAATGAGTGAGAACATGAAAATAAAAATGTAGTTTACTATTTAAAAAGTAATCTAGTGATTTTTTTTCTGTAGTGATAACCACAATTACAGGATAATCGAGAAACACGGTATGCACGGAGCAGTGAACAAGCAGAAGGGGGATAAGCCAAACCACAGCGCTTGCGGCTTGTGCTACCTCTTGAGGATTTACGAGAGTCAAGAAATCAAAGGCCTTCACACAGCTTTCCTTGGGCTGTTATTCAAGGGGTGCGTGTGTATGTGTGTACCAAGTGCTGCCTGGGATTAATTCCCAGCACACCAAGCCCCTCGGGGCTCTCCTCGCCCTCCCCGGCCCCCACACGTCCGCCGGGGGGAGGGGGGGGCACCCTGAGCCGCCCGCCCGCGCCGCTCTTCCCTCCCCGCGCCCAGCCAATGGCGCGCGGCCGCGGCGGGAGGTGTGTGCCGCGACCTCACTTCCGGTACCTGTCACCTCGCCGCCGCCGCCGCTGTTGGGGCTCAGGACGCGGCGCCGCCGCCCCCCCGCCCTCAGCCCCCCGCCCTCCCCCGGGCAGCGGCCGTTGGGAGGCGCCGCCATCGCGGCCGGGCCCCGCCCCCCGCGCCCATGGGCGCCCGGCGGCCGCGGGCGGTGGCAGCGCCTCCACGGGCGGCTGCGGGCAGGGCCTGAGCACGGTACGGGGCGGCGGGGGGCGCCCGGTCGGGGCCGGGGCCGGGGCCGGAGGGTGGGACTGAGCTGGTGTGAGTTGGGCTGGTTTGGGTTGGTTGGGTTTAAGTTGGCTTGGTTCAGTTCGCTGGGGTTGGTTTAACTTGTGTTGGGTTAGTTTGGGATGGGTTGGGTTGGGTTGGGATGGGTTGGGTTAGTTTGGGATAGTTTTGGTTGGGTTGGTTTGCTTTAGTTTGGGATTGTGTGTTTGGTTTAGTTTGGATTGGTTTGGTTCAATTTGGTTTGGTTTTTTTTTTTGGGGGGGGGGGGAGGATTTGGGTTGGTTTGGTTTACTTTGGCTTGTTTTGGGGGGAGTTGGCTTGGGTTGGTTTGCTCAGTTTGCTTTAGTTTGGATTGGTTTAGTGTGGAGATGAGGGGACACCTCTTCACAGTGAGGGTGACAGAGCACAGGCTGCCCCAGGAGGCTGTGCAGTCACCTTCTCTGGAGACATTCAGAGCTCACCTGGCTGCCATCCTGCACAGTGTGCTCCAGGTGATCCTGCTTAGTGGGGGGTTGGACTGAGTGATCTCCAGAGGTCCCTTCCAACCACAGCCATTCTGGGACACAGTGATTTTGTGGATGGGTTGGGTTTGGATTGGTTGGGTTTGGTTTAGTTTGGTTTTACTTCATGTTACTGCCATGTTCTGCTGCTGGGCTGTATCCTGGGGGTCCAAGGGCAAGCGGGGGCATGCCTGGTGTTTGAGGCTCGTGTTTCTAGACCAAAAACCAATTCTGGAAACTTGAGGGAGGCATCAGGGTGCTGGGACTCAGGGAATAGAGAGATAGGAGGTGATGTCCTGTCACACAAGGTGCCAGCTTGCTGCTGTCCTGTCGCCTTGATGTGGCCCATTTGAATTGTCTGTCCCATTTGGGAACCAGATGGAGGATTTGTACTTGGAGGTTGCTGTGGCTTGGCTGGTCAAGGTGTGCTTTTTTCATGATCAGTTGGCTGGACGAGAGCAGGATACCTGTGGAGCAAGGAGTGGGTCTGTGGGAGCTCCCCCTGTATCGACTGTTGTTGGTTTGACAAGCAAATTGTGTTTCCTGATGGTCCCTCCCAGGCTGTCCGCTTGTGGTCTGAAAGGCAGGTGGAAAAGATAATGTTCAAACAGAAATGGAAAGAAGTGTTACAAGGTCTCGCCTTGTGTATTCATATTAAGATTAGCACAGTCTCACTGGCATGAGTAGCTGCTCCTAAGCTCTCAGATAAAAGCCATATGAGTACAGGCATCGTCAGCCAGGATTATCTGGACTAACAATGTTTGGCACTACAGTGGCATTGGATGCCTTAGTAGTACTTCACAAATAAAGACGTTGCATAAGTTTTGCTGGGACAGAAAGGTTTAATCAAACTGTACTTGTGTTATAGAACGTGCACTGACTTCCCTAATAGCATTGAACACAGATTGTAGGGTTGTGATTCACGTGGTCTTTGTGGGTAGCAAAACTGAAAAGCGTTTCACTTAAAAGCTCTGAAGTGCTGCCCTAACACTGAGTATACCTAGTCTCATGCTGAAACTGATGGCAGCGGTGGTTCATGTGATGTGGTCACAAGCCTACGCTAAGCTAAACCAGTATCATAACCTTTGTTAGTTGGCATTAGCTGTCCATCCAGCAGCCCTTGGCTCTCAGTTACCTTTTGTGGCAACTTGTTGGATTTTAAGTAGTGCAAGGTATTGTTTCAGAAGGATGAGTGTGTGCCCAGACCTTATCAGAGGTTTGTACAATTGCGTGGCCAGCATGCTCTCTTGCTTTTCCCATGTTTGGAAGGAGCACTTGACATACTCCAAAAAAAAGTTCTTATCAATCTGCTGATGCCTTGTATTGACTCTCATCCTGTACATTCACATGGCATAGAGAGTCTTGCTTGCCTGTGATAATCTTGTACATCTTGAAAGCCTTTTTCTCTTTTGCAGTTCAGTTTTGTTGTTGTTGCTTTTTTAATGTCTTAATTTTCTGTTCATGCCCTTCAAAATAGTCCTCTCACAGGGAATTATGAAATCTAAAGCAAAGAATAGGGGTTGCACTTCTGTTGAGATTTTTGTGTCATTATGTTTTTAATATTTTGCGTTCAGTGTTACAAAAGCATTAGAGAAGATAGTGTCCTACAGCACAGTAGGATAAGTGGCTTAGGATATTCATCTTGTTCTAGAAATTGGATTACAGTGTTCACTGTTTACCTGAAGTGGTCAAGGAGGGCAAAGAATTTTTTATTTTTATTTTTTTTAATTCTCGGCTTTTAGAAGAAGTGCTTTCTTCAAAATTGCAAATAGGGCTTTTTTCTTGTTTACGTTGCCTTGGCTTACCTGCTGTGATTTCAGTTCCTAGTTGTCTCTCTTGCAACTGGAATATTTATTATGAGACAAGGAAGAGAATGCCTTACTTGTCTGGGAAAATAAACAACGTTGAATTTGTATCTATTATAAATACAAACATGTTCTTACAGCATTCATGAATTTTAACATTTTTAATTTAATCTGTCTGCTCTTGCAAAATCTCCCTAAATTTAACTTGTTTTTTTTTTGAGTTGAGTGGACAGGGGAGTCAACTTAATCAAAACAGTATTTATTTTTATATAGCTATGTATGTGCCTTTTTTCTTTTTTTTTTTTTTTTTTTCAATATGGGCCTTGTAAAGTATGTAACAATAAATCTCTCCCTTTGCAATTGGCCTTTCAAGTACCAACCACACCCCAAAGACATCTTGTGGGACATGTGTGGGTACCTCAGGATCCATAACAGTCTGTCTGCATAAAGACTTAGAATTCTGTGAGAATGCTTCTTAGGAGTAAAAGTATTTTGTTTTATAACAGCTAATTAAAATACCACAGGGCTTTCACTGAAGTGGTCTTAACTGAGGGATTTTTGTTTTGTTTTATTATTTTATTTTATTTTTAGCATGAAGAAAAAAGCTTGGAATGATATTGGCATGATATAGAGCCTAGTTAGCTGAATGTCAGTGTAGTCCTTCTGTAAAACTAAGTGTTGTATTTACAACCTCAGCCATTTAAAAACAAAACAAAACAGGTTTAGCTCAAGTGAAGTGACAGTGTTGTTTTTTCTGAAGAGATGTGAATACAAAAAAGCAGTACGTTACACGATATCAGTATAAAGTCAGATTAGTAAGCTATGGGAAATCTTGTCGACTGTTTTTTTTTTTTTTTATTTTAAAGAAAGAATTTTGGCACTTTTTTATTAATGAAGAGACCCTTGTTATCGCCAATGTGCACGTGAAATGGAAAGGGAACATATGGAAAATGGCTTCTGTTTCAACCTTGCAAGATGCTGCATGAAGTGGTGAGTAAATACATGGACTGAGAATTACCTTAGCAATATTTTTGAACAACTAGAGAAGAAAAAAATCTGCAGTACAGTTTCTGTAGAGTGATTAATGTGTAGCCAACTGACAAGCAAAGAAATCTGAGCAAGATGTACAAACAAATAGTTGACAAACGAAAGGTGGCACAATCAGGAGAACAGTGTAAGTAATATTTCCTTATGTTGTAGTGTCTGTTGCTGTGTTGGACTTTTACATAGAAGGAAGTTGCATATAGGCGCTACCCAGTAGATTTCTTAATTAGATGAATTCTTAATATTTTATAAGTTTTTTAAAGTGTTTAAGAGTATTCAGCATCTCACAGGACCAGGTCTGTAAAATGCTGAATAGACACTGAGTGAAAAAGTAGTTATCCTGTAAGATAAAGCTCTAAATCATCTCTATGCTGAAAATAAAAGTGATTGTTAGAAACTAAAATCTCTCTCTTAAAAGCATAATATCTGGCATGTTTTGAAAACACTAAATAGGTATTTAGCAGATTGTTGTGTGACCAGATTGTATGTTGCATTGAGATGTTGCCAAATGTGATTCTGCTTCCTCATACCAGTTCTAATGGTTTCTGCTTATGAAACAGTATTTATTTATAAGTGCATTGCATGTGTCTTTTAAATATCTAGGAAGTATAATTTCTGTGTCCAGCAAAGGGCTTCTTCTGCACAGATTAATACAAATTGTAAAATACAATTCACTGGTAATTCTAATCCTGATACAGGTTTAAGTTGTTACGTCACTGGTTTATGTGGTTGCTTGCTGTGTTTTAAAGTGCGGTAAGCATGATTTTTTTTTTGTACATTGCAGATTGAAAGATGAGAACAAGCAAACAGGATAGTTTGTTGCAGTATTACATTCATTAAATTTATTGTTTTAGTTCAAGTTCAATGATACATATGGAAACACTAACAATATGAAAAGTATTTGCAAGCATTTGGAAAATTACCTATCCCTCTCTAGAAATGTTGATATACAATCATATGGTTTTATTTATTTATGTATTTATAAACTAAAAAAAATATTCACTTAAAGTTCCCAAATGGTGAAAGAAACATGGTTAAAGATGCATCTGCCCTGAGTAGCAACCCAGTGTTGCTACTTGGCACTTAGCAGCTACTGAAGTTGTAAGGTTTTTTTTCGCATTTGGTTCCAGCCAGCTGACATGCATGTGAAAGCAAGTTAGTCCACTGTTTTCAGATTTCAGTAGTCCAGTTTGTTGGTAAGTAAGTAAAAGGAAACCAGAGCTGATGTTCAGTGTGCAACTAAATTGCTGGCTGGGTAAATTGTTGTTCATCCAAATATGTATGAAATCCTGGAGCTGAGAGCATTTACTATTGTGAGTAGCTTGGAGTATGATGTATTTTGCATGGAAAAACGTTATCACGGTCTGTCCTAATGTTATTTAGATTTAACCAAAAAAAAAAAAAAAAGAATCAATTCAAACTCTACTGTCAAGGTTTTGATGCAGGGCTTACTGTCTTAATGGTTATATCTACACATCCAGCACAGTTCTACTGTCTGAAAAATTTCTAATATCTGCATGTAGACTTGTATTGCAGTTTTGGTTTTGTTACATAAATAAGACTGTACATGCCTGTTTCATTTTAATTATTAACTAGAAATTACTGATACAGCAATTCACAGAAGAAACTGTTGAATTTAAACTATAACGAGAGTGTTCACATGGTAAGAACTTTTGTCTATTAGCAAAATCTCTTTGAAAGTGAAGACTTCAATTACTGTTGATGCTTCCTATTTGCCTGTTAGTGTTGCTGCTTCAGCAAGAATGTTATTAAGTGCATGACATTAGAGTCACAGTACAGGCTCATACAAAAGATAACATAGCCTCCTTGTGTATTTATTCAACATGTACGGAAAATATTCCCTGGAGTAGTTAAATTGAAAAATATAGTATGAAACAACTTAGATTTGAGGGTGGAAAGAGGGAGAAGATGAGAGTTTTGTCAAGAAGGGCTGGTTTCAGGACTCCTGTTTTTATTGCCAGGCAGTGCTTGCTGGCATTCTTTGCAATGGGGCCGAGGAATGCTCTATTACAGCAGTCCACAAATCCACCCACTCTTATGTGTTGCAGTGCACGGGTCATAGTGAATATTTTGGGCTTGTGGGCAGTTTTCAGGGGAAGACAACAGGAGCTACACATTGCCAGCTTAAAAGTGTTTCTCATGGAGGCTAGAATTATATTCACGATGAATGTTAGTAGTCCTACAAAAAAATTGAAAAAATAACCAGCATAGGTATGCACAGAATACCGGACAGTGATGTTTAGTCAGCAAAGTTGGAAATGGTTAAATGTGACTTTTCAAATCTTTTTCTTAGCCAGTAGGTAAACATCCAGTTTGGAGTATGTTTGCTGTATTACTGGGTTTTCCCAGGCAAATTTGTTTTAAATGGAAGATGCTGTATGAATGCAGTTTCACTAGAAAAGAGCTATGTAAACAGGAGAACGTTCTGTCTGTGGTAGTTTCTGACATGGTGGTTATTGGAAATTTTGCTCAGTAGCATAAAGTGTAGTTGTACTGTTAAGCTGTATATACCTGAAACTTAAAAATGGTGCAGTGTGTGTACTCGTATTGCACGTAGCTGCCCACAGAGAAGAGCATGTAAGAATTTTGAACTGTTTCTTACCTCTGAAAATATTTTTAATATTTTATTTATTATTATTCTTATCCACTGTGGAATAAAAGACTGCTGCATGGAGTTACACAGGCCAGACTGACTAGAAACAAGTCAGGTAGCAGCTTTCGAAAACATATAGGTAAGGGACAAAAATAGTTTGCAGCTCAGAATACTGCTTTTGAAAAAAAGCAGCAGCTGTACTTTTTGTGTACTGTGCTTCCATAGAGATGTGGCTGTACATAAACAGGCCAACGTTTTCAAGCAGCTGCCAAATTCTCAGCTTTTAAATGTATGTTTTGAGCACCTGATTTTCAGTGTACTGAGCTGCCATAATTCTAACTGTTACAGGGAATTGCATTTTCTCAAGATTATAAGTCCTGTTGAAGTTCAATAGTGATTATCCTTGAAGAAGATAGAAGTGTTTAGTTTGCAGCTATCAGTCATTTTATTTCTCTTCTACCTGATATGTGGGTATGAAAAAAACAGAATCAGCTGTCCCCTCGCTGTGTTGTTGCTGATAGCCCTGCAGATACGAAGCTTGTAGTGAGAGGTGTGGTTGCACATCACGGCCTGATCTGATCCAGCAACTGTTGTTAAAGATCAGACATGCTCTCTCTTCATGCTTCTTTCCTTTGCTGCCAGCCACGTGGATGCCAACCTTCCTTCCTTTCTGCTGCCCTTCAGTGAGTCCGTTCAGCTATCTCAACCTATTTACATTTTTCCTGCGTTATGTTTCTACCAGTTTAATGAGCCAGGTTTTTTCACTGAGGCTGTGTCTATGCTAGGTAATAAAATATGTTGGGGATTGTTCTCTGGACCCAGAGCGAAGTGGCAATACCGCACACACCTAACAGCCTTCTTCCCAGAACAGATAGCTGTTTCCTTAACCAGGCCTGGGCATTTGGCTGGGAGAATGCCAAGCTGCTGTGGGCCAAAATGGTGTCAGAGAGAACGCTAACATGTATGGCTCAAGCCTGAGCTCTGACCCTGGTTTATTTACTCTTATAGATGTGACCAGAGAGGTCAGACAGTGCGGGAGCCAGCCCAAAGGTAGGCTGGAGCTACATGGCTGGAAATGAAGAGGGGAGAGTAAAGGCACAAGACTGACAATGTCAGAGCTACGGCAGGGATATCCTTTTGATGTCATGGAGCTATTAGTTACTTAAGCTGGCTGTACCCTTAATGCAACTTTATTTTGCAACCCGAAACTTCTGTGTGGCTCTGCAGAGGGCTGTGAGTGCTGTCCCCCTTGTAACTGCTTTCTCAAAGTTCTATTCTGTCAGCTAAAATGTCTTACAAATTAAATTCAAACTAATATATGAAAGTATATGTGGGATTCTGTAAACAAAATTTATTAAAATTTATTGTCTTGACTGTTTCGTTGGTTTGTTGGTTGTTTCTGTCTTTTTTTTTTTTTTTTTTCCACCTTGCTGTAATTCAGTTTCTTCCTTGGTTTAAAAAAAAAAAAAAGGTGGGGAAGTGAGGTGGAGTAGCAGGCAGGCAGCAGTGGTGATACTATTGTTAATACGGTGCTGTGAAACCAGTAAGTAGATACCCTTTACATCATGTGAAGGATGAGCAGAGAACTTAGATGTCAGGAAAATAATTGGTTATATTTTGATGTTTTTGATCATGCAGGAGTGTGAGGCTTGTGATCTCTATACTGTAGCAAGTGACCTGATTTAGAACTGTGAAGTCATGTGAACCAAGTATATCCTCTGACATGTCAGTAGCTTGGAAGCACAAGTACTTGATGTCCGTTTGCCAAAAGATGTAGATTCATTGCATTCATACCTGTTGCTAGGACTTCAGTCCGCAATGTTAATTCAATGGAAGCTTTGTTTCTGGGTGATATATTTGTCATGCAGAAAAGCTTCTTATGGTAGGAATTTGTAAATTATTGGAACAAAACTGAAGACTTCTTTCACTCTTTTTTGTTGTTGTCAAAAAAAAAAATTTTTTTTTGATTCACATTCCACTCTGGGTACTCAGAGTTGTGGCACGCCATTAAATCAAACTTAGTTTATTTTTAGTTGTTTTTTTTTATTATTTAAATGTAATCACTGAGCAATGGGAGCGTGTAAAAAATACTCTGAAGGAATGAGTAAAATTGTAATACACTGAAGAATAAGTAAACCAAGCAACTCCAGGTGCTGTTTATAGAAGGCATTAGTCTACTGGTAGAAGAGTACAAAAGCTAGCTCATTGGGATTACTCAATTAATTTCCAGAAGAAAGGGCCTTAATCTGTAATATCTTTTCTGAAGGTCAGTCTCTTTTATTGGATGTAAATCTTACTAAGCTGAATTTAGGTTATCAAATATACTTTGCTA